TATTCTTGTGTTCTTAAATATTACTAGCTTTGGTGTAACAGTGTGTTGCGTATAAATAAATTATTGTATACACTTTCAACTCATTAAAAATATGTTTGCCGATAGATTAATATCAATTCTACGGCTATCTTCCAGTCCCGCTTCATCAACAATTCTTCATTTGCGTAACCTATGTTTGCACATTGTACTAACTGTCGTGGAAAATATCTTACAAAGATTATCATTCACGTTGGTTGGCTTGCACGCAGATGTGCCGCCAAACTCTAATGTAAATAGCCTTGGTTTACATTGAATTGCGTATATAAAAATATTGTATACACTTTCAACTCATAGTTTTGCCGATAGAATATTGTTCAATTCTACGGTATTCTTCCAGTACCATTTCATCAACAATGGTTTAATTGCATAACTTATACTTGCGTGTTGTATTGTCGTGGGAAAACATCGCCCAAAGATCTTTATACATGTTCTTCGGCATGCACGCAGATGAGCTTGCCAAATTCTAAATGTAATATATGTGTAAATCTCTCTCCAACGAGTTTAACAATATAAAGGCAGGTTACTCACAATCATATTTCGCAGCATGGTTCGGTCATTACCACCCAGCCGTTATCATCGGTGGGTGATATGACGCCCGTAACTGTGACTGCAGAAGTGCACCCTCCACCGAAATCAACAATACCAGAGGATTTTGTGAGTATCGTAACTGCTCTCAAGACGCTTTGATGCGGGTAGCGCAGGCACAAGCCATGATCCAGTCAATACCAATGAGCTTCGTGTATCAGTTACCTGTGCGGAGTGCAGCGCCTGACTGCAACCCAAGCGCGTGTACAATGTTACGCAGGCGTTGCATGATCAGCTTAGCGCTGTTCCAACATACCCAGCGCAGCAGATGCATGCTCAGACGTCAACACCGTTCCAGAACGCTAATTGGACAATGGTCCTTACTCCAACAATGATCCAATCATCACTGATGAGCATTGTCTAATAGATCTGCGCCGAGCGCAGCATCTGCCTACTAATCTGCCTCTACAATGACATCACCCCAAGGGCTTAAAGTGTACTCGGTTATGCAACCAGCACATGATGAGCTTAGCACTGTCCCAACAACTTTGGCACAAGTGTTAGCGCCTACACCTGCGCCTAATGTATACCAAACACCTAATGTGCTTTCTGGTACAGCATACATCGCTGGACAGCACGAATTCACCAGCGCGTACAGGAACATCAGCACATGACACCTTATCCAGGCCGGTCATCAAAGCCTTCTAATAGAGGAGGCACTACACACTGGAGCAGATCGCTGGCTTAGCGCAAGTACCCGATTGGGTAGCAGATCATCTCGTGTCAGTGGCACCCTCCCGTGGTAACGGGGTTAATAAGAGGGACACCATGAGGTCATTGGAGGAAGACTTCTCCAAACTTACATTTGCTCTGTCATTTCAGTCACCAACATCATCAATGCTTGCAGTGGATCAGGATCTATCAGAGGATAACCCTTTCCGATTAGATCACCTCCAAACTATGGTGATTTTCCTACAGCGTCAGTTTGACCACATGAAAATTCTTCTTGAGGCCGGTCTGGTGGAGATTACCGTCACAAGCAGACTTTAGCATTTTTCCAACTGGGACTTTGATTTCAAGCGCAGGCTGCTAAGCCAACCTTGGTCATCTACTCCCCTGTTCAATAAACAGATCGCAGACATGCACGCCAAGTTCCCAAGATGCTTGGAATGACACTGCGCTCAAGACTCTAGAGCACGTCTCTTTTAGTCTATCCCAGCAGGCTGGCAGGTCAGGCAATTATAAGCCTAGATGCGCGTCTCTCAAGGAAGACCAGTATTCCCTTCGTGGGAAAGGGCGTGGCAGAGGCAAGTCTCAAGGATGATTATGTACTCATTGTACTACATCACTGTTTCCGTCTACACGTAGAGGTAACCCCACCATTGACCACAGTTCAACATAGACATACTGTTGGTGAGAAAAGTTGTAGAGATGGCTCACAACCCAGACTTAACACTGAAGTTTTATCCTCACATCTGCCTGGTACCCATGAAGGACTCAGACGAGATGAGAATGATCCACAATCACTCGTGTTCAACGAACATTATCTGAAACGTCCACATTATTGATGCCTCACCACATTGACACTGCCAAGAATCAAGATCAATGCGTTCTATCCTTGATCAGTCTCGACTATCCATCCCTCTGACGGCAGACTCCTTAGGTTCCAGTTCATTGGGGTTCACTACCAATGGGTAGTGTTTCCATTTGGCATTTCAGTGATCCCATGGCTATTTACAGGAGTAATGAAGCCAATAACTGCGTATCTACACCTCACGAACACTTGGTTCGATTCGTAGATAGAGGACGGTCTACTGTATCATCAACACACGCCAATGTTAGTACGCCACCAGGAATTCACCATGCAGACGGCTACTATATCAACTGGGATGGATAACCATTCCAGTTACTGCTTCAGAAGTTCGGGCAACCAAACATCGACCTGTTTGCTACTTGCCTAAACCACCAACTCATGACGTATGTCTCCCCGTTACCGGATCCGCAGACTTGGGCGGTGGACGCGTTCAGCATCCCTTGGGAAGGGCTAAAAGCATACACTTTTCCACCACCAGTGTTACTTCCCAGGGTACTACAAAAGATCAAGGAGACAAGGAGACTTGCTCTGCCTTTGGTTGCGTCCTGGTGGCCTGCGGGTGGTTCGTCGAGCTCAGAAAAATCTAGCAGAAGACGATCTACTACCCCTCCCACAGTGGTCCAACCTACTCATCCACCTCACAGCAAATTCCCAATAGCAGACAGGTTTCGTCTGCACGCTTGGTTCGTTTTTAAAAGGCGTTAAAGTGCGAAGGGTTATTCGGCGCAGGCAGCTAAAGCTTTAGTTCATTGTTCCTCTCCCAGAGGACTGTACAATGACAAGTGGGGATCATTTGAGACTTTTTGCAAGGAAAAAGAATCAAGACCCTACGATTGCGTCACAACAATTCCTCGCGGAATACCTCCTACATTTGTGTACCCAAAGACACTTGGAAGGTAGCACCATTACTACGTATTTGGTTGCACTTAACTCAATGTTGGCCGTTCCAGCAAATACAGGCCCTACTATGCTCATTCAGGCTTGAGGATCAGAAGGCCAAGTTCCGCCCACCTGCTTGAGACTTAAACTTGGTACTTCGAGGTTTGCAAGGGCCCTCTTTCGAGACCCTCTATGCATCATCATTTTATGACCTCACCAAGGATACAATGGTTTCTCTTGGCATTAGCCACGGCGGCATGGTTGAGCAAACTACATGTGATCAACATCACCCATGTCCGCTTTGAGCATGGGGCGCACAGAGCGGTACATCTCGGGTTATTCTGGTATTTTTTTGCAAAAATCAACCACCAGGCCAACCCGGTCTTTCCTTCACCATCCCACCAATATCGACTGAAGGTGAATTTCTCCTGGGCTCAGTGCAAGCAGTTCGAGTTTTCATCTGCCGCTCCAAGACTAGGCATGGTTTGAGGAAGCGGTTATTCATACCCGTGTCTACTACATCCACGACTGAAGTTAGTCGCAACACCATATTCTTATAGTTACGTCAGTCATCCTTCAGGCTTACGAGATCGCCAAACAGAATCCACCGAGAGCGAATTACCCTCACTATTTCAGGGTGTTAGTCTTTACCATGGCTTTACACAGCAATTGTTGTATCAGAACAATCATGGAAGGATGTTTTTGGAGGTTCGACAGTTTTTGCCAGTCATTATCTTCTCGATGTGACTCTCGAGGACGTTGAAGGTGTACGAAGTTTTGGGCCATTGGTTGTGGCCTAGCAGGTTACCAACCCCCAACGCAAATAATGAACTCGCCCTATACAGAGCCAGCCTACTTCCATTTGCAGTCACTCTGTTTCCCACAGTGGAAGTATATTAGACAATCTTGTTTGTCAATGCCAGCTCTATGACGTAGTAAGTAAAGAATAAGCTGATTAGCTATTATTTTCTTTATTACTAAATGTGTATAGGGAATTTCTCTTTAATTCCTATGTTCAATCGTTTTGAGATTTGAACAATGGCGTTTTTTCTGAACTTTTCTGAACTGGTGTCGTATTTCAGGGTGTGAATTATTGAGGTTTCTGTATTCTGAAGGTTTACCCACCTCCAAACTGTCCAATACAGATGCATTAAGGAGTAATGCAGGATCACTTGCTAACTTGCCTCACCACTTTGGCTTCAGAAACCTCAAAAGTATGTTTTTCTAAGTGCTGGGGTGAGTGATGTGAAGAAGGTGACCTTAGGTGTCATCAAGGTCACAGGACAGCGGCGGTGGTCAGTAAAAGTGGGACTTTAGAACAACAACTTTATTTCTTCAACCAGGACCATCGCTTCCAGACAGTAGTTGATTACCAACAGAAGCAGATTGATTACATGTGCAATCACCTCAGGGTGGCACTTGCCAAGGTCACTGCATTCCGCAGTCTTGGTTATTTGTCCACCTCCAATTGGGATTTGGATTTTAAGTGCCTGTTCCTTTGTCAGCCATGGGCAGCTTCATATCTGTTCAACTTCAACAGCCAGATCTCCAATACCCATGCTAAGGTCTTGAGTTATTCTCAAGATAAAATGTCCCAAAAAGCTCTGGAGTATGTCTCCCAAGGCAGGCAACTACCATCTTAGACGTTTCCTCCCAGAAAGATCAGGCGCCCGATCAGTCTTCTTTACATGGCAGAGGACGCGGTAGAGGGAAATCACCAGGTGGAGCTCTTACCGTCTCCAGTTCATAGAAGGTCTGTTCCTAACAGACTTGGAACTCCTCAAAGATCCGAGGGACAGATGGCTCAAGATACTACGCCATCTGTCACCTGCTCCCCAGCAACCCCTCACACTGGCAGTGCTTCTGGGTCCAGGACTTGACAAGCAGAGGTCATCTACACCCGCGTCAAATCCTTACCTATCCAGTACACTACCACCTCACCTCAGGAGTCATCTCAGCTGGTGGACGGTAGAGTCAAACGTCTTATAAGTGTAGGATCAAAACCGAGGGCAAGTTTTTGATCTCACTTATGAACTGATCAAATAATATGAATGAGAAATAATTTTACTAATTGGTATTAACATGACTTCATTGATATTTACTGTTGAGAGTTTAACTGCAATACGCGGGGAGTTGTAACAATGAGCGCACGTGGTTCAAGCCAGTCGAATGAATTCCACTGAAGAGGATGGACGCAGACAACGATATATTTCTGACGCAGTCAGTTTTTAAAGAATTGGCATCCTGTGCTGAAGAAGACAAGGAAAGTGATGACTTTAAATTCCGTTTAGGAGATCCACTCTCCGAGCGTGAAATAACCTTACAAGTTACCGTCAAAAGCCTGTGCAAGACGTCCGGTATTGAGGGCATGAAGATAAACCATTCCTTGAGAGCCACGGCAGCCACTCGATTGTATCAAGGTGACGTTGATGAAGAAATGATTTGCGAAATTACCGGTAGGTTGATAAACATTTTAGTCCTGCAGTAATAAGAAATTGCTATTCAGCAAAAGTCATAACATATCAAAGAAATATTTTTTCCAAACCAGTAAGATGCTCTTTTTTATTTATGATATATGTGGTAATATTGGGGTTTTTGGAATCTGTAATAGTTTTTAAGTGTATTTGTATGCTGTATGTGTATTACTTTCAGTAATCTGAACAATTTGTTTCAGGACATCGGAGCGACGCCGTTCGAAATTACAGAACTTCTGACAACCAAAAGGCAACGGTCTCTGACATACTTAGTATTTTGAAAAAAATGAACTCGCCATCACGTGAAGAAGCTGATCCAAAAAGAGCAGATGACCAATGACCTGAAGACAAACTAAATCGAACTGTGACGCTCAATTTCATCTAATATCAATAAATAGTTGAGCCATGTTCTGTTGTTTTTTTTTCATGCAGAAAGGTAATTCAATACAGAGGGTATTTTTCGGGGCAAAAACCAGGCTTTCAGTAGAAAATCTCCCGGGATTTCTTGCAGAAAGCCCGGGGCTTACCCTAGGAATGCCCGGGGCTTACCCTGGGAATGCCCGGTAAACTACCAGTAGAGGTTTAGTCGGTAAAAGAAGACCCTGGCGAGACAATAGAGTGACGTCACTAGAGGTTTATAATGTGTCTCCTTAACAGATTATACCTGACACCCCACCTGTTCGTTGAAGTCTCTCTACAGGGTTGGGGTGCCCATCTGGAAGGCCAGATGGCCTCAGGGCTGTGGTCCAGCACACAGCACACTTGGCACATCAACAACCTCAAGTTAGAGGCAGTCATATTGGCGGTATCACACTGTCAGGAGTGCCTCTGGCACACTCAGTTCATCATCTCCATCGACAACATCATGGTGCTTTGGTGCCTGCGCAATCAAGGAATGACACACTGTCACGCCTACCTTCAACAGACGTTCCAGTTCTTCCATCTGGTAGATCTGGCCAAGCACATTACCGGTTGGTGGTACGTTCTGGCAGATGCTCTATCCAGGCCAGACAGGGTAGTTCCCACGAATGGAAGCTTCATACCGAGGTGTTTCATCTAGTATGTCAACGCCTAGGTCATCCCAACATCGATCTCTTCGCCACTTACCAGAACTACAAGATCTCAATTTATGTCTCCCTGATCCAAGACCCGCAGGCTTGGGCTGTGGATGCATTCAGCATCCTTTGGTAAGGACTAAGAGCATATACTTTTTAGCCACCAGGACATCTTCCCAAGGTGATGCAGAAGATGAGAACTCTGATTTTTATGGCCCAGTGAGAGGGTGGTTCGTAGACTTCAGAAATCTTGCAGGAAGTGATCCAATAACTCTACCATAGAGTTAGGGTGACCTAACATACTTCTACATCCGCACAGCAGGTTACCACATCCAACGCCAAGCAGGTTGCATCTGCACGCCTGGTTCATCTTATGAGAGTTCTAGGTTCAAAAGGTTTTCGGCGAGGGCAGCTAAGGCCATTGCTATGGAGCACAGACCTTCGACCCGAGGCCTTTACAATGATCAGTGTCGATCCAACAGAACCTTTTGTTAAGGAAAGGATCAGAACCCCACTACTACCTTGCCTGCTTATTCTGCTAAACAGCAGTTGGCTTGGTAAATCAATTTCTAGACTTTAGCTCTTGCTGTTTTTTACCAGGACGTCTTCATACTCCGCGGACAGGATTGGTTGAAGTAGTTGTAGAGTTGATGTCACTGAGGACTACATCTGAAGGTATGCCCTCTGTCTGATACAGATGCATTAAGGAGTAATGCAGGATAAGTAAAAACATAAGTAAAGTCTAAGTATTTTGTACATTTGTTTACTTACCCTGCATTACTATGCGTAAGGGCCCACCTGTAAAAGACCTATCTCCTAACAATTACTTTAGGTGCATGGGTGGCCCAGCTGTCTAAGGCGCCGCGATTTGCTGTGCAGAGTTGTGTCCCTTAGGCGTGCCAGAAACCTATGATTGTGGGTTCGAATCCCGGTTCGCCCCGATTATGTATGTTTCTAGGTTTGTCAGCACCATACCCATGCTCGTGGGTTTCACCGAAGTGGTTAACGTCTGAGACCTGCATCACTTCGGGCTTTCCTCCCACATTAAGCTGACACGCTGTGATATAACTGTAATCCTGTTAAAAGCGGTGTTAAACCCAACTCACTCACTCACATTCTGTCTTATGTCACATGCACCATGTGAACCATTCTGTGTATCACTTACCATTTCAATTGTATTTCGTGTTCATCTAGGAAGGAGATTAGGATGAATGTGTAAACTAAACGAGAAACAGCACTCAGCTGTACACAAACCTCCTCCCATATCTACCCGTCATTCAGTTAAAAAGTATGAATTAATATCACTTAAAAAGCATTTTGATTCAGTGATGGGAAGAAACTGTATCTGAAACTATTGTTTTCCTTGGAATAAAATATTCCAATATTGTGTTAGTTATTTAAAATAATAATATACGGTAGTCATAAGTGTGGCACTTGGGTATATTGCCAGATATGTTTTGAATATGGAGTAGTTTCAAGAGTCACCGTTTGAAGAAGTCTTACTATTTTGATCACCAAAACAGTATGTTGACATAAAATAGTCAAACTACAACAAATTGGACTTTTAATGTCAAAGTATGGCATTCAGGATATTTGTATCCGTTCTCTGTCAACTGTGGTTAGTTTCAAGGCAACGATAGTGGTAATTTGATTGTTGTTGCAGAGAGGTCGTACGATCTGTCTATCAGTTCACTAACTTTCTGTGTTGCATTTTCATTTTACAGTTGCGCATATTATTACTTAGATATTGAGTTGAGTTTATGATGGCAATAGCAATGGTTATGTCATGCCATTGAATGTTATGCATTACATGCACCATACCATACGATATTTTTTATGAAAGCTTTGTCCATTATGAATTTTAAATTTAACAGGCTAACCTGTGCTATGCATATATGGACTGTTAGTTATTTTAAGTTAAATACTCCAATGGGTGTTTATTTGTAGTTGATTTGGCTTAGAAACTTGAGTAGTTCACAATCGTATTCCGTTTCTCTCACTCGCCCAAATTTAACAATAAATGTTGTTCCTTTATCTGTTGTCGTGTTGTTATTGTCATTATAAATTACACATATAGTAATTATACGTTAAGAGAAGAGTAAATGACAGCTTGACCAGCACCTGTTGAAATATCCCATATCATCATTCACATTTGCAAAATATTTTATTGGTAAGTAGTATTGAGTTAGCTCCCATTGGATATTCTGGAAAGTTGGCATTTTGTGTTCAATTCTTTTGTCAAATATGAGTTTTTTTAGCTCCAAGATTATTGTGTTTGCATGATTATTGTTTTTTAAGCTGTACCGGAGTAAAACATTTTCTTTTGAAATATGAATGTTTATTTTCCCTTTATTGAGAAGACAGTATTCCATATTGGACCAGATGGGGCATACCTTTTGACATTCCCAAAATAGGTGTAAAATGGTTTGTCATTTGAGCAATAGCTACACAAGTCACTGTCCACGTATGCATTTATAAAGTAGCGATTTTTTACTTATTCTGCATGACTCCTTAATGCATTTACTGCTTACCTTATGTCAAAAGAGACAGTGCCTTGCGATGGTCCTGGTGAAAAAGAAAAGGCTGTTTCTATCTCAAGTCTGCTTTTGTAGGACCATCGCCACTATTCGTTTAATTTAGTGGTTAGCTTTCTGCTACCACACTAAATTACGTCTGCGATTGGTGATGTATTCCTTTCATATTACTTTCACTTGATTGTGTATTAATATGCGGGTGTTTTCAATGTTTTTCCCGCCACATGGTTCTTTGTTTCGTTGAATTTGCGTTACATTTGTTTACCCCTTACTGAGGTTGTCAAGTTTGTTTGCAATTCTCCGCTAGGTATTAACAGGCTTATGTATATTTAAATACCTGTAGCCTTTGGCGTTATATAGAGTTTTCATGTGTTTATAATTTGTACACTTTAAAAAACTCAAAAATATTTTGCTGATTGCAACCTGGTGTTTTTTCATCCACATGCTCAAGTCTATTTCAACAACAACTTCTAATTTTGCATAACACATGCTTGGGATGTGTACAAATTGTTTTGGTAACAAATCTTCTAAAGATCCTCATCCACGTTGCTTGGACTGCTCTCAAGTGTGCACTCCAAATTTCAAATGAAATTTTTTGTTCACCTCTTTCTCCACCGCGTTTCATCTTTTATAGACAGGTCACTCACAAACATATTTTACAGCAGTCCCATGTAGCGAGGAAGATGTCTCAGTCGCAGGACGCTGCCGGTCTCCATAACCACCCAACCCTTGCCGTCGGGTGGAGCTTTGTCCACAGTTATGGTGACTGCCGACATTCATTCACTTCCATGTTCTACTACCTTGGGCTCAATCATGTATATCGCACCTGTTTAAAATTTTCAGGCATCCATGGCCTTCACAGTGACAGTCCCAGAGATGCCGGCGCATGCGTCCTACGGCGCTTCTACTGGGTTGGTGCCAGCGCAAGTGCAAGCCACAATCAAGTCAACACCTATAAGCATCTCATAACAAGGGCTTGTGCCGAGCGTAGCGTCTGCCTATGGGCTCTCGGGTGATGTCATCGACACTAGGTCAGCTTAGAGCTGCACCTCCTGCCTACCCGGTAACGCAACAGATGAATGTGCAGCATACAACGCCCTACCAGAACAATTGGATGCATAACTTCATGCAATCCATGTGGCAGGCGTTTGCTTTTTCAATTGTGATGGATAGTCAACGAGGCGAGGTCGGAATTAACTGCTTCTTACTAGCTCCAGTTCGTAGGGGGCCTGTTTCAGACATATCAGGACCTCCTAAGAGTGCCGATGGATTGATGACTCAAGATCTTACGCCATCTGCGACCTGCCCTGCATCAATCACACACACTTCGCCAATGGCAAGTGTTGCTGGGGCTACTCACTTCAGCCCAGGATTTGCCAACAGGGGACGCCTACAACTGCATCCAATACAACAATTCCTGTCTCCTTACATCATTCTACCAGCCATCCGAAGGACTCACCTCAACTGGTTGACAATAGTCAAACATCTTAGGAGGCGTCTCCTTATCCGGACTGTCCCCGAATCTACATCTGTTCGTAGACACCTCCCTTCAGGGATTGGGTGCTCACTTACAGGGCCAGACAGCCTCAGGGCCGTGGTACGGCACCCAACAAACTTTGCACAAAAACAATCTAGAACAATCATTCTGGCCATCTCACATTGGCAGGAGCAGCTACAGTCCACCCAACTCGCAATATCCACTGTCAACAGTATGGTGGTGTGGTGCCTGCGCAATCAAGGGACATTGCACTCCCACTTCCTTTTTCAACAGACGTTCTGGTTCTTTCATCAAGTGGATCGTCTGGGTCCACCAGACAAGGTGGCTCCCACAGAGTGGAAACTTCACTCAGGTGCGTTCCAACTGGTGCTTCATCTCTTTGGGCAACCAAACATCGATCTGTTTACGACTCACCAGAACCACCAACTATGATGTATGGCTTGGGCGGTGGACTCATGCAGCATCTCCTGGGAAGGGCTAAGTCATATGCTTTCTCTCCTCATGATGACACAAAAGAGTAAAGAAACAAAGAGCCTTGCTCTGACTTTTATCGTGCCTTGGTGGCCAGCAGGGGGGTGGTTCGTCGACCACAAACACCTTGCAGAAGATGATCCACTACTGCTCCCAGAGTGGTCCAACCTACTCATCCACCCTCACAGCAAACTACCTCACCCAACACCAGACAGGATTCATCTGCATGCATGGTTTGTCTTATAAAGGCGTAAAGTGCCAAGGGCAATTAGGCGCATGCAGCTAAAGTC